ATGGGCACAATGTGTAAGTGCAGACAGAAATGTAGACATATAGCAAAGAAACCCGTGACAGATGCTCAAAGCATTAGTGATTAGGGAATTGCAAATTAAAACCACAAGGAAATACACATATTAGACTGGCCAACATTTTTTAAAATACTGATCATGCAAGGATGGGAGCAATTGGAACAACTAGTATTCTCATCCAATGCTGATGGGAAACTCGGAAAAAAAACACTTGGAAAATAGTATCTTAGGAATGGTGCCCACTTTGCCACTCCTAGGTTTTCACCCCAGAAATCTGATAGCATGGATTCATTTAAAAAAAAAAAACTGTCTATAGATATTTACAGTGACTGCATTCACTTTTTTAGAAAGAATATATTTACTTGAAAGGCAGAGCATTAGAGAGGAAAGGGAGAGTCAGAGAGAGCTTGCATCCACTGGTTCATTCCCCAAACGGCTGCAACAGCCAGGCTGAAGCCAGGAGCCAGGAACTCCATCCGGATCTCCCACATGAGTGGCAGGCTCCCAAGCACTGGAACCATCATCCACGGCCTTCTCTAGTTGTGTTAGCAGGGAGCTGGATCAGAAGTGGAGCAGCCAGGACTTGAACCGGCGCTCTGACTTGGGATGCTGGCTCCATCTGCTGTGTCACAACTCCGAACCCTAAAACCACTTTGAAATATTTTTTTTTTTTGCAAATTAATGGAAATGCCCCAGATGCCCCTTGCTGGTGAATGGACAAAGAAGGGCGGGCTCTCCCACTGCATGCACACAACCCCATGCGGGGAGCTCAGCCAGACTCAGGCTGCTATGTCCTGTGTGATTTTATTTACATGATAAACCATAGCGACGGAAAGTGGGGCAGAGCGTGCCAAGGGTCAGGTGTGGGAAACAGGGTCACCTGCAAAGGGCGTGGGAGAAGCTTCTGGATTGAGCGAGTTGTTCTGTGTCGTGATTGGCCTGGTGGCTTCTCGGCTATGCTTGTCCAAACCCACGGAACTACACACTCGAAGGGTCAGTCTTACTGTATGTAAATTGTGCGTTGTCCTAAAAAAAAAATAAAATAAAAAAATACATGCTAATGGTAAACCTAGATGGTGAGAATATGGCGAGTCACTGTACAGTTTCTTTCAACTTTTCAGAAGCTTTGAACTTGCTCATAATCAGATGCTTGGGATGAAAGATCAAAAAGATGTTGGGCGGCTGATAAAATAAATAAATGCATACATGTCCCAAACAAACAAACACACGGAACACGATGAGTCATTTCACCTTTCATTCTTAGATGACAGGGGCTGGTGGGTTAAGCCACCGCCTGCAAGGTTGGCGTCCCATGTGAGCACCACCAGTTCGAGTCTCGACTCTGCTCCACTTCTGATCGGCCAGCTCCCTGCTCATGTGCCTGGGAAAGCAGAGGGAGATGTGGGAAGGCTAGCAGAGTTCTGGGCTCCTGGCTTCGGCCTGGCCCAGCCTAGCCGTTGTAGGCATTTGGGGAGTGGATGGAAGATCTCTCTCTATCGCTCTCTCTCCTGTCACTCTGTAACACTGCCTTTTAAATAAATAAATCTCTTTTTAAAATCTTAGATAATAATAAATAATGAACAAGGTAAAAAGCATTGAAGATCACACCCCAAGAAATGGCTTTCATAAAGCTACCAATGGGCGGTGAGAAACGCTGCTTTAGACCAGGCGAAGGCATCTGAACTCCACCTGGGAGAGCCTGGGGAGGCTGGGGCCTCTCAGAGCACGGACGGTGCTGGGCCATGTCCCCACTCTGGGCCCAGGGGCAGTGGGAGGGGCCAGGGTGCGGGTCGGGGGCAGCCAGGATCTGTCTGCTCAGGGAGGGCCCGAGAGGGAAATGACCTGGGGTACCTGGGGAACCTGCACCCCAGCACAGGGAGCCTCTCCAAGGAAGGGAAGCGGCAGGAGGTGGTGGGCATTCTGGAAGTCACCGCAGGGCTCTCCTCAAAGCTCTGGGCTAGATCAGATCCAGGGTCTTCATGTGACTCTAGGTGAGGAGACCCCCAAAAAGAGCGGCAGATTCAATGCCCCACCAGCTTTGTCTCAGGGGCGCAGGGTCAGTCTTCAGTGAGCTCCTGGGGCAGGAGTGTGGCTTGGGAAGGCCGCGTCCCCGTATCCGAGTGCTTGGGAAGCCTGACTCCACTTCCGATCCCAGCTTCCTGCTGATGTGCACACCCCGGGAGGCAGCGGGCGGGCGCTGGCTCAAGTACTCGGGTTCCTGCCACCCGCGTGGGAGACCAGGATGGAGTTCCTGGCTCCTGACCCCAGTCTGGCCCAGTCCTGTCTGTTGTGGGCATTGGAAGAGTGAATCAGTCAATGGGCAACATCTCTCTGTTTCTGTCTCTTTGCCTTTCAAATAAATAGAAAATAAATTTTTAAAAATTCATATAAACCCAGCTTCTAAAAAATTTAATTTTTTTAGCAAAATCAGGAGGCATTTTCTGCACCCAAGTTAATTATGGCCAGAAAAAGATTTATCCATGTGCTGATCGCTATGTTAGAGTTCCAGGTCATTTTCTCTCTCTTTCTTTCTTTCTTTCTTTCTTTCTTTCTTTCTTTCTTTCTTTCTTTCTTTCTTTCTTTCTTTCTTTCTTTCTTTCTTTCTTTTCTCTCTTTCTCTCTCTCTCTCTTTCTTTCTTTCTTTCTCTCTTTCTTTCTTCTCTCTCTCTCTCTCTCCCTCTCTTTCTTTCCTTCTCACTCTCTCTCTCGATTTATTTATTTGAAAGTCAGAGTCACAGATGAGCGAGGGAGACACAGAGAGATCTTCCATGCTTTGGTTCACTCCCCAGATGGCCACAAAGCCAGGGCTGAGCCAGGCCAAAGCCAGGAGTCAGGGACTTCATTTGGGTCTCCCATGTGGGTGCAGGGACCCAAGCACTTGGGCCATCCTCTGCTGCTTTCCCAGATGCATTAGCAGGGAGCTAGATCGGATGTGGAGCAGCCGGGACTCAAACCTGCATCCATATGGGATGCTGGTGTCCCAGGTGGTGGCTTAACCGGCTGCGCCACAGCGCCAGCCCCCAGCCCATTTCAAAGGGCTCATGGATAAGGAAACCCTTGCTATTTAAAAGTGCGGGTATGGAAAGCGTCTGTTCAGACCCTCTTCGCCTTTGTCATAGCCGGTTCTTCCTGCCCAAGGTCTTGAAGTTCAAGGTGAAAACCCAGCGTCTCCCAGCATTCGTCCTGACCTCTGTGCCCTTCACCTGGTGCTCCCAACACTCGCAGCTCTGAGCAGCTCCTCTCTGCCTTTGCAGGGGCCTTTTCTCTCCCGTGGCCCCCTGGTGAACTCCTATTCAACCTTTGGCACCCCGCTGCGCCACACCTCCTCTGTGGAGCCTTCCCTGGAGCCCTTCTCCCGTGGACAGGCACAGCGATGCCTTTTCTGCCTTTCCACCCATCCACATGTGCAGCTCCAAGTCTCCCCCCGCCCCGCCCCAAACGTGCCATTCCAAATAAAACCGTCTGCTGTCAAGGCCTCATGGCCCAGATCTTAACAAATGAGTCCCTGCGGCCGGCTGGAAGGCGGGCAGCAGGGTGAGACATGGGGCTGGGAGGTGGGGGCCTCGTGGGCAGGGCAGACGCTGGGGGAGGGCTCCGGGGTCACGGAGACTGTGCCCAATGCACAGTCACGCAGTCTTCCCTCTGCGCCCCCTGCATCTGCCCACCCCTTCCTCCCCCAGCTCTTTCTTCGAGATCTTCCTGGAAGCGGCTTTGGCCCGGCTCGCCTAGGGCAGGGGTGAAGGCTGCCGGGCCAGATGTTTTCTCTCCAACACCCTTTTTCGCCTCCATCTGTGCTCACTTCGAAATGTGCACTGATTTATTTCCCAGCCTGGGCCTTCCTCCAGACTGTGAGTCTGAGGTCAAGAGCGCCGGGGCCGGTGCTGTGGCACAACGGGTAAAGCTACCACCTGTGGTGCTGGCATCCTGTAAGGACGCCGGTTCAAGTCCTGTCCATTCCACTTCTGATCCAGCTCTCTGCTATGGCCTGGGAGAGCAGTAGAAGATGGCCCAAATGCTTGAGCCCCTGCACCTGGGTGGGAGACCCGGAAGAAGCTCCTGGCTTCAGATTGGTGCAGCTCCTGCTGTTGCGGCCAATTGGGGAGTGAACCAACAAATGGAAGACCTCTCTCTGTGTAATAAATAAATAAATAAATAAATAAATCTATCTATCTTTAAAAAAAAAAAAAGAGAGAGCAGTCTCACTGCCCTTGGCCTCCGGAAGACTGAGAAGGGGTTTCCTGACCATGAGACCAGGGACAAGTTTTCCAGATCTCTCAGAGCCTTGGTTTCTTTTCCTGAAAAATGGGACAGCAGTAATGCTAACTCTGTGGAAGCATCTTTGGGATGAAGTGAGCCAAGGGGGTAGTCCCTTGGAATAGTGCCTGCCACGTGTGTATGGCAGAATTCATGTAGGCTGCCATCCCGACTTTCCCCTGTTATCACTGAGGATGTGTGTTCACATTCCAGCTCCCCCTTTTCCCATTATAGAGATAGCAAATGCAAAGCGTTCACCTCCCCAGCCTCAGTTGGAGCTGGGACAAGCACATGTGACCCAGTCTTGAGCAATGGGATTTCAATGGAAGTGTGCAGGAGCCTTCTGGGAAAGTTTGGACATTGTCAGGGACGGAGGAGATGCAGAGCTGTGGCAGCCACATTGTGCCCGTGGGGGCTGGCGTCAACATGACGAAGATCTCAGGGAAAGGGTTTTTACGACAGTGCTGAGTTCCCGCCCCAACTCAGGAAACTCATGTCTTGGAACACTGTTAAATTAGCTCTGAAATCATCCTTACCACGAAGGCCACTTTTAGTTGAGTATTCTGGTATTAGCTGAAAATATTCTAGTAGGTACCTTACCATGGAAATTAGTCAGTAAGTATTGAAAGACGGTGGCAAGACAAAAATGCTGGCCTACTGAGGCCCAGGAAAGGGGTCTTGTGATGAGTGGCCCCCCACACCCCACCTCCAACTCTCTGTCCCAGACTCACATTAGCACGAGAGCCAGCTGCCCGAGAAGGTCACAGGTGGGCGACACTGCTGGGTCCCCTGGTCTGTGCTCCGTCCCATGGGCAGTTCAGCATCTATCGAGAGAAAAGAGGGTGAACACAGAGGAAGAGGAAGAGAAAGGAGGCAGGGAGAGGCGAATCCTTCCCCAGTGAAGGGTCCCAGATCCCCGGCCTGTGTTCCTGTTGGGTCTTAGCGCCTGCCTTGTTCATTTGGTCTGAAACTCTCCCACCGCCCCATAACCTAGGTAGTGTCATCGGCTTCAGTCTGCCCTGTGCCGGCCAAGAAACCATGCCATGGCTTCTCACCTTGCCTCACCTTCCCGGCTAACTCAGTTTTGGCGCGTTGTTCACTGTCTTGTGCCTGGGACTCGGCTTGTGCGGTGCTGAGCGCAGGTGGGCCCGAGCTACGCTTCGCTTGTTTCTTGTTAACTTTGTGGCTAGGGAAAAAAAAAAAAATTCGTGGGAAAGACAACTGCAGCACAGGTTTTGACCACAACGGCTGCCGGTGCCATGGTGGTGCAGGATGTCGTGGGGATGACGGAGCGCGGCTCGCGTGGGGCTTATGCAGTGCCACACTTCCTGGGCTGCAGATGGGAAGCCTGGGGCAGGCGAGGGGCTGGTGTTCAAGTGCGTCGTCAGGATCTGGCCCTCTCCTGTTGCCGAGACACATCATTTCTTGGCCCGTATGTCAAGGCACTGTGATTCTCTCTATCACCACGCGTCTGATTTTGCACCCAAGTCCGATTCGGGCCTTCCAGTCTCCTCCCTTCCTGGGCCGTTCTACTCACGCCATGCTTTCCAGGGTCCCCAGCAGCCACCGCTGCCTCCTCCTCCTTCTTATTTCAGAGAGAGAGAGAGAGAGAGAGAAAAGAAGAAGGAGGAGAAGGAGAGGAGGGAGGGAGGGAGAGATTCCATTTGCTGGGTCACACAAGGGAACTCAATCCAGGTCTCCCATGTGGGTGGCTGGAATCCACCTGTTTGAGCCCTGACCCCCGCCTCCCATGGTCTGCATTAGCAGGAAGCTGGAGTCAGCAGCCACAGTCAGGAACCAACACAGGCCCTCTGATGTGGGACATACGTGTCTCAATCACTAGGCCAAAAGCCAGCCTCCCACAAAGGCCTTCGTTTTCAAGTTCCCATTTAATCTCTTCTCTTTTATCACTCTGGTTTTTTTTTTTTTTAATTGGGTGGTGGTTGTTTAAAAATAATTTTTGTTGTTAAAAAAGAATTATTTATTTGTTTGAAAGGTAGTTACAGAGAGAGAGGGAGGGAGGTGGAGAGAGAGAGGGAGAGCGAGAGGGAGAGAGAGAGAGAGAAATCTCCCATCCATTGGTGCACTCCCCAAATGACTGTAAGGATGGATCTGGGTCGGTCTGAAGCCAGGGGCCAGGAGCTTCTTCCAGGTCTCCCATGTAGATGGCAGGGGCCCAAGTTCCTCTGCTTTCCCAGGCCATTAGCAGGGGGCTGGATCAGAAGTGGAGCAGCCGGGACATGAACCAGCCAGCACCCATATGGGACACTAGCACTGCAGGCGGTGGTTTTACCCTCTGGGCCACTTCGCCGGCCCTGTTGTTCAATTTCTGTTTATTCATTTTACTTGCAAGGGGAGAGAGAGAGTGAGTCTGGGTCTCTCACGTGGCTGGCAGGAAGCTATCCCTCGCTGCCTCCCAGGAAGCTGGAATCGGGGTCAGAGCTGGGACTTGGACCCAGGTATGGAGTCTGAGCATCCTAAGCAGTGTCTTCACCGCGACACCACTGCCGCCCCCGTCCTCACTGCTCACTCTCCCCGCTCCTCCTCACCTAGCACCGTTTCCTCCTACTTCTCGGCCTGCTCTCCACGTGTAAGCGTCCGCCACGTTCTCTTCTAGTCCCGTTCAGACTCTCCTGCTTGCCTTGTTCATCTGCAAGCCCACATCTCCCTTCCTGGATGATTGAACCCCATCAGAACTTTGTATACCCATGCAGGGACATACACCGCGAGAGACTGCCCCTGCCCAGTCTCTCTTCCCAGGAGCAACTTCTAATGATAACTGAGTGGACCAGGGCAGTTCAAGCAGTCTGTGGAAAACAGGAGTTAAATATAAGGGTGGGGTGGAGGTGCAGTGCAGCAGTGAGGGGCCTGGGGTTGGATACCCGCATCGCATCCGGGAGTGCCTGGGCTTGTGTCGGCCTTGGATTCCAGCTGCCTGCTAGTGTGCACCCTGGGAGGACAGCAGGTGTTGGCTCAAGAAGCGAGGCCCCGACCACTGACCACTGAGGTGGGAGACACAGGCACACCAAGAGCAGTGCTTTGCCAAGGATTTCCTTCATCTGGTCAAGTTGACACTTCAGAGTCACCTGTTGACGTCCGACAAGCTCCAGGTCTTCTAGGCCGGCATGTGACAGCTGGCTCCCAACTTAGTTTCCCTGTACCATCACCCTTAAGGGCCCTAGGTGGATCTGGAAGATTCTGGTTTTACACTCTGGTTTGTACAAGAAACCCAACTACTCTGAAGCCACCATGCTCACCACAAAGGGACGCCTCCTGGACCAGAACTGAGACTTCCCAGCCAACAGGGGAGCTAGGCTCCAACGTGTGACATAGCCAGAGCCGTTCCAACTGGCTCCCGCCCACTTGCGTCCCCTGAGCTGACGCCATGTGGAGCAAAGACCAGCTGGAGAGAAAAATAGTTGCCAATCAATCACGTCTCCCACACGAACTCGGCTGCCTTCTCAGCCTTGCACATGGCTGCTGCTCTTGTAGCCGTACTGTGCCTGCTGCGTCTCTGCCTGGGTTAGCTTTCCTCCTCCTTAACTGTTTCCCTCCATTCAAGGCTCATCTCGATGCCTCCTCTGCTATAGAATTTTCTCAATTATGTCAACTCTGAATTTGGGGTTTTTTGGCCAGCTCTGGGGCAACAGTGTGTTTGTGCCCACCATGCCTTCACTCTCCTTTTCTCACTGGGACAGCACATCAATTTTCTCAATAAACTATGCCTCCCTCTTTTTAGTGAACTGCCAATCAAGTTGTCCACTTACCTCTGACCAGGGTGGGACATATAACCTGAGTGGGCCAATAAGCTGTGAGCTTGTGCTCTCTCTTTCTTCCTCTTTACAGAGCAAATCTTCAGAAGGACGACAGAGAATTAAGGACAGATCACATCCTGCCTAGATCTTCGTCCACCGCTTGCTGGCCTGGTCTCCCAAGCTTCTCTGATCCGTGACCAGCTTTTCCTTTGAGTCCTCTGGGCCATCCCTGCAGCAGGAATGGGAATGTTCACCAAGGATTCTATCTGTTCCCGGACATTTCCCAAGCCCTGGGCAGGTGGGGCAGGCCACGTGACCAGTCCTGGTCAACCATGTTAAGGGAGAGAGGGCAGAGGCAGTTAAACACACCTGGGCAGACCCTGGCCTGGGCACCGCTGAGGTTTTGTGCCTTGGATGCTACGGCGACAGGATGGGGGAGGCTCCATCACCTGGGGTTCCTGAGTGAGTGCAGGGCACAGCCTGTTGCTGTCCCCACAAGAGATCTGTCCCGTGACCTAGAAATAACCGCTTGGGGACATTTGTGACAACAGCATGACCTAGCCTATCCCGGCTAACGTCTACCCAATACTTGTCCAATACACTCTTTCGGCTGAAATGACCCAGAGCCCGTTTCCCACGCTGAAAACCATGGAGCCGAGGAACGGAGCCAGCAGTTAGCAGTTTTCCCCTTGTCACTCGCACCACGCACCTATCCTGCATTCACTTCTCAGCTGACAGCAGCCTGCGCACCGCAGTGAGTGCAATTCCTCTTCACATCTGGCTGCACGGCTGTCCACTTACAAGGCTCTTGATAAATATTTGTGAACGTGAAAACAGAATGAAAGTGAAAAACCTCATGAGTCAACTAGATACTTTCTTTTCAACTGTGGTTGCCTAATCCATTTTCAAGGGAGTTTCTAATGAAAAGGGATTAAAAATTAAGATTACATCTCTTTTTGATGATAAGGGTGACTATACAATAATATATATTCCATCATACTATAATTGATCATTGTAGTGTCCAAAATGTTCTCTTTTTTTAAAAAAATATTTATTTATTTGAAAGATGGAGTTACAGAGAGGCAGAGGCAGAGGTGGGAGGGGGGGTTTCCATTGGCTGGTTCACTCTCCAGATGGCCGCAACGGTCGAAGCTGTACCGATCTGAAGCCAGGAGCCAGGAGCTTCTTCCAGGTCTCCCACATGGGTGCAGGGGCCCAAGGACTTGGGCAATCTTGTACTGCTTCCCCAGGTCATAGCAGAGAGCGGGATCAGAAGTGGAGCAGCCGGGACTAGAACCGGCACCCATATGGGATGCTGGTACTGCAGGCATCAGCTTTACCCACTACGCCACAGCGCTGGCCCCCGAAATGTTCTTAAATGGCAAAGGGTAAAAAGTTTTGAAACATCCCAACAACAATATACATGGAGCTCTTTATGTATACATGATACAGCATGTAGGGTTTCTCCTTCTTCACTTCCACAACCATTCCCAGTCCTAATCTGTCTCTAATGTCTTATGGACAAAAGGAAAAGTGGTAATCAGAAAAAAAATAAAATAAAAATAGAAAAAGATCTCAGGAAGCTCTGATCCAATGAAAAAGAACCATAGAGGAGGAAGTTTCTTGTTTTTATCCATTTAAAAAAAGATTTATTTATTTTATTTGAAAGTCAGAGTTCTAGGGAGAGGAGAGACAGAGAGAAAGATCTTCCATTTGCTGGTGCACCCCACCAAACGTGCACAACAGCTAGGGCTGGGCCAGGAGCTTCTTCTGGGTCTCCCAAGCACTTGGGCCATCTTCTGCTGCTTTCCCAGGTGTGTCAGCAGGGAGCTGGAGGGGAAGTGGAGCAGCTGGGATTTGAACCGGGGCCCATATGGGATGCCGTCCCTGCTTTTATCCATTTTCAAAGAAACACACACAGGGACAGGTGTTGTGGCACGATGGGTTACACTACTGCTTGGGATGCCTACATGGACATTGAAGTGCCTGTTTTGAGCCCCAGCTGCTCCACTTCCAACCTAGCTTCCTGTTAATGTGCCTGGGAAGGCAGTGGAAGATGGCTCAAGTGCTCAGGTGGGCCCTTCCACTCACGTGGGGGATCTGGATAGAGTTCTGGGCTCCTGGCCCCAGCTGTTGTGGACATTTGGTGGGGTGAACCAGTAGATAAGATCTCTCTCTTTTAAATAAATAAATGAGTAAATAAATAACAATTAAAAAATAAACACATGTAAAGAGGAATTGGTTTATAATCTTCTCTCAACGAGAGAAAAGAAAATGGAGTGTTTTTGTTGGAATAAGCTTGAAGAGCATGGGATGTGGGGTACGGGACTGGATTTCAGCGAGCTATAGAGCAGGGTTTCTCATACTTTCACTTTCCCTGGGGATCTTGTTAAAGCAGCTGGGGCCTCTGGCTCAGCTTACTGGGGGTCTCATACTCCCAGGCGCCTGTGCTGGCCGTCCCACTCCCACCCTGCCCCCAGCAGACCTAGAAGAGGAAGTGTGATAAGAATCACCACCACAACTCAACGCCTCAAAGGCTTGATTTGGGGTTTTGATTGCCCTGCCCAGAATCTAGATTTTGGTCGATTTTCTTTAAGTCAGTGAGCAAATCGCTCTTTGCTTGCATCTTCTCTGGAAATCACGTCTCTGGTAATTTCACTGATTTCTGGAAAAGGGTTCAGAGCACAGGTGCAGGCAAAACAGGCGTCTCAGACATGAGAAGCAGGTGGAATGAGGAGAGTGTGTGCTCTCCTGGGCACTGGCTTTCTTCTGGGCTGCTTTTCTAACAAGACTGGCCACGTGTTTGCTCGGGTTGTTAAAGAAGGTGAGCATATGGGGACAGCCTGACAGAGGGAGAGAGATGGGAGCAGCAGATCCTAGAATGAAGAGCTCTTAGTAATCTTCCTTGCAAAAACAGAAGCCCTAGGTGTCCGACTTATCCGCAGGGACACCGCTCTGCTCACCAAGAAAAGACACGGAGTGCTTAAGGTAGATCAGGCATCACTCAAAATTGCTGATAGGAAGGGACTTTAAAACATCTGTGGAAAAATGCCATTACAGGGCAAGTTTATTTTGGTGCAAAAACATTGAAATCTAGGTCAGCATTTTTTCCTTTTTAAAAGGTTTATTTATTTGAAAGTCAAAGTTACACAGAGAGCGATCTTCCATCCACTGATTTACTCATCAGATGGCCACAATGACCAGGCTTGGGCCAGGCTGAAGCCAGGAGCCAGGAGCTTCATCTAAGTTTCTCACGTGGGTGCAGGGGCCCAAGGATTTGGGCCATATTTCACTGTTCCCCAGGCCATTAGCAGGGAGCTGGATTGGAAGTGGAGCAGCCAGGACTCGAACCGGAGCCCATATAGGATATTGGCACTGCAGGAGGCAGCTTTACCAGCTACATTGGCTTCAGTTTTTCAATATATACCTTTCCCTTGAACTTTCTGAAGACCCTTCTAACAAAAACCAGGGAAAATCTTTTTTAAAAAAATGTTAGTTCTTGAGGCTGGCGCTGTGGCGTAGTAGGTCAGGCCTCCACCTGTGGTGCTGGCATTCCGTATGGGCACTGGTGCGAGTCCCGGCTGCTCCTCTTCCCATCCAGCTCTCTGCTAGTGGCCTGGGAAGACAGTGGAAGATGGCCCAAGTGCTTGGGCCCCTGCACCCACAGAGGACACCTGGAGGAAGCTTCTGGCTCCTGGCTTCAGATTGGCCCAACTTCAGCCATTGCAGCCATTTTGGGAGTGAATCAGTGGATGAAAGACATCTCTCTCTCTTCTCTCTCCCTCTCTCTCTCTCTATCTGTAACTCTGCCTCTCAAATAAATAATAAATAAATCTTTAAAAAATATTAGTTCTCAAGGAGAGAACTTAGTTACATGGAAAATTCACTTATATATAATCCTCAAACAATGCTGGATAAATACAGCTGTAACTATATCCCCATTTTATGTGCCTCTATCTATATCTATCTATCTATCTATCTATCTATCTATCTATCTATCATCTCTACTATCTATCATCTCTTGATCATCAATCATCTATCTGTCATCTATCTATCTATACTTGTATATAGGAGAGAACTTAAAAAGTTCATGGCAAAGGCACATTATGAAAAAATTTATACAGGTTTCAAACTATTTGCACCAAAATAAACACCTTTTAAATTTTTTATGTATTTTCATTTTATTTGAGAGGCAGAGAACCATCGAGAAAAAAAGAGAGCTCTTCTACCCACTCACCCACTGTTTCACTCCCTGAAATGTTTCCAACAGCTGGGGCTGGGCCAGGTGGAAGCCAGGGGCTAGGCGGTGGAAACGTGAGTGGCAGGGACTCAAGTACTCCGGTGAGCACCTGCTGCCTCTCAGGGTGCCATAAGCAGGAAGCTGGAGTTGGAAACTGGAGCCAGATAAACTTATTAAAAAAAAAAAAAAGCTTAGTTATTCATTCATTTGAATGAATTCATTCATTTGAAAGGCAAAGTAACGGAGAGGAAGAGAGAGAGAGAGACAGAGACAGAGTTGGTGGGGGGAGAGAATCTCCCATCCACTGGTTCATCCAGGGTGATAGGAACCCCAAACCCCATTACTTGGGTGTCACCAGCTACCTTCCAGGATGCATTAGCAGGAAGCTGCATTGGAAGCGGCACAGCCTGGACCTGCTGCGCCACAACGCCTGGCCCATTTGGGGACATTCGCTTCCATGTTTGCCCTGTGTGACTTGGGTTGTGATGCCCTTCCTTGTACATCTGCTTTTGTGTGCATCTCTTATTACCCACAGAGATCCCCAGAGGTGGCATCACTGAGACATAGAACACATCTGGTGTCTTGACAGGTGCAGCCAAATGGCCTTGCACAAAGCTGGGAAAATCTGTGCTGCCCCTAGCAATGTGCACATTTTCCAAGCCAGCGTCTGAGACTTCTGCTGGCTTGAAACTTAGGAATTCTGACTTTTGGGGCTGTCCCCACCCAACTAAGATAGTAAAGTCAGAGGACAGCTCTGCCCTCGAGCCCTTACAGGGTGAACCTGGCTTGGAATAGAGACCGGCTGAAAGCCTGATGGAGAAGCAGGCTCCTGCAGCAGGCGGCTGAGTCTCAATTCACTGAGGCCAAACTCCCAGCGACAAGCCAGCCATCTCCACACCTCCCTTCCGTTTTGTGTCTATCAGCGTTGTCTGGCCATGCCAGAGCTCCAGCCTTCCTTGAGCCTGTTCTGTTTCAGAGGGATGCTTGAT